GTGGCGTGTGCCTGTAATCCCAGCTACTCAGGAGGCTGAGGCAGGAGAATTGCCTGAACCCAGGAGGCGGAGGTTGCGGTGAGCCGAGATCGGGCCATTGCACTCCAGCCTGGGTAACAAGAGTGAAACTCCATCTCAAAAAAAAAATAAAAATAAAAAATAAAAAATAAAATGGATATGTCCACTGGATGCAGTGGTTCAGGCCTGTAATCCCAGCACCTTTGGAGGACAAGGTGGGAGGATTGCCCAAAGCTAGGAGTTAGAGACCTGCCTGGACAACATCCTGAGACACTGCGTAAAAAAAGCCAAGAAATTTTAAAAAATGGGAGTGTGTCTTTGGTGATAGTGCATCATGAACCAGTCGGTAGCACTCTTCCTTAGTGGGGCATAAGTAATGGTGCATCTTGCATTCAATGCCATCTTAGATTGGATGAAATACACATTTTGGAATAAATGAATAAATACATGCTTTCTTTTGGCACTGTTTCTTCTGTTTTGGTCTTATTTGTAAACCAAGGAAATTATAATTTCTTTAATAACTGTCTAGTATGTGCTGGGAGTTCTTTTGGGAACAGAGACAGCGGACTGACAGAAGTGAATGATGTAGTTCTTCCCCTCAAGGACAAGAAAACCAGCAATTGCAGTGCAACATGCTAAGTGCCATAATAAAGGAATGCTTTTGGGGCAGAGCCCAGAGAAGGGACCTCGTTCAGCCTGTGCAGATCCTGGAAAGCTTCCCAAGGGACGGGGTAACTGACCTGAGACTTATGACACTGTTGTGGGGCACTTTGTGCTGCTGTCACATATGTGGTTTCTTTTGATCTTCACATCACCTCTGAGATAGGAAAACTATCCTGTCTTAGAAATGAAAAGACTGATGTTCAGAGCCATTAAATAAATTGTCCCCAAACCTCCTAAATGGCAAGTGGTGGGGTGGGGGTAGCGGGGAGTTGAACTCAGGTTTCCTGGCTCCAGGATCACTCACTTTTTATCTCGTTTGGGCTGAATCTCAAGTGATGCACTGCTCTGCACTGTCTTTACAAAAATCATTCATAGGCGTGAACACTTTTATCCGTCAGTCTTCGCTTCTTTAGGCTTGCAACAGCAGGCTCTCGCATCTTTCCTTCAGTCTGTACTGGGTTTTGAGCCAAGCAAGAAAAACCAGACACTGTCCCTATTCTTGGGGAGCCCCCAGTCTGAAAACAAGTTGCAGATACACAGAAAAAACATCCTCGAGTGTGCGACAGATGGTAGGGAATGTGTCATCAATTTTGACATTTATGGCATTTATTTGCCTTCACTTGTGAGTTCTACTTTTTAAAATATTTGCGACTTCTCAGGCCTCACCCTCGAAAGAATTTGAAGACTGAACACAAGCAGAGATGTTTTATTTTCAACTCAAGACCTCACCCAGAGTTTTTTAGGCAGCAGCCCTGAACCAAGTTGGCTTCGAGGTATCTGTGAGTTTCTATACCCCGAAGACTTTTTCAGCTTCTACTTTCTACCCATGAGAGGAGGTGGCATGGATGATTCCTTTAATCATCCATCATGTCTTTGCCAAGGACATATAAGCCTATGTGTGGCTCTGAGGACACAGTGGTGAGCCATGTAAATCGTTTTTGCCTTCAGGATGCCTGGCAGAAGCAAATGAATATTGCTGTCAGGTACATGCAAATGTTGTGAAATGCTTCCCTGTTCCACACCTTCTTTGGAGACCTTTAAGAAATTCATGGAGCGGGCCGGGCGCGGTGGCTCAAGCCTGTAATCCCAGCACTTTGGGAGGC